GGAGGCTGAGACAGAATTGCTTGAACCTGGGAGGTGGAGGCTGCAGTGAGCCAAGATCATGCCACTGCACTCCAGCCTGGGTGACAGAGTAAGACTCCTCAAAAGAAAAAAAAAAAGAAATCAAATACCTTAGACTCAGAAAAATAAGTATGCTTTGCCATCTGAACTCATTATTCAAACTCAAGAACAGAATAAATTTGGATAATAAAGGAAACTTGTAAGTTCACTCAGGAAATAGCCACTGTTGACCACCGCTGATGGTGATAGAATCAATAAAAATAAGTACAACATGTGAACCTATTCATCATGCCTGAACATGCCTTCTGACTTCATTCACATAATGCCTCCTCTCCTTTCCACTGAGCCAATCCCACCTCATAAAAGCCAGCTTGAGTCCTACCTCTACACAAAAGCCTTTCCTAAGCTCATCAGTTCATACCTCTCTCCCTCCTCTAAAGTCCCATCATATTTATTCTCTGTACCATCACTTGGTACCTAATCCTATAGTACCCTGTGTTTAATTATTCAGGTGTGTATCTGGTGTCTCCCCAAGGAGAATGTAAGCTCCATAATGATGGATTGCTTATACTCCTGTGTTATCTTCCTTCAGTGGTAATAACGGATGTTCATTCAATAGATATTTATTAAGAATGATGGCCGGGTGTGGTGGTTCACACCCGTAATCCCAGCACTTTGGGAGGCCAAGGTAGGAGGACTGCTTGAGTCCAGGAGTTCAAGAACAGCCTGGGCAACATGGCAAAACCCTGTCTCTCCAAAAAGTTTTAAAAAAATTAGCCAGGGGTGGTGATGCATGTCTGTGGTCCCAGCTACTTGGGAGGCTGAGGTGGGAGGATTGCTTCAGTCCAGGAGGTCAAGGCTGCAGTGAGCTATGATCATGCCACTACACTACAGCCTAGGTGACTGAGACCCTGTCTCCAAACAAAAACAGGCCAGGCGTGGTGGCTCACACCTGTAATCCCAGCACTTTGGGAGGCTGGTGAGGGCAGATCACAAAGTCAGGAGTTCGAGACCAGCCTGACTAACATGGTGAAACCCCGTCTCTACAGAAAATACAAAAATTAGCCAGGCATAGTGGCGTGTGCCTGTAATCCCAGCTACCCAGGAGGCTGGGGCAGGAGAATCAC